ACAAAAAACAAAAAACAGAAAACACCCACCACCAACAACAAAAAAACCCAAAGCCCATGGACTCGAGTTAAAATTCTTAACTGAAATATTTGTCTTCAAAATGTAAAACTGTCTAGCAAGAATGTCCCCAAGCATCAGCCTGGAAGGATCCCTGTGCCCCAGAAAACAGCATCTCATGCCCAAACCATACACAAAAAACGAGTGGCCACCCTCAGTGACTGTTTTTATTCTGTGTTCCAGTGACCCTAAGGAGTTGATCCTGGGTTCTGTTAAGACTGCTCTGTGGTGTGGAGACTACCAAAGCCCTCCCCTCTCCTCCCAGGTCACAAGCCTAGGTCCAAAGGAAACCGTTCTCTCCGCTTCTGTGGGAACTGCTGCTCTTACTGATTCTAGAGGAAGCAAAAATGTGAGGTAAACTCGGTTGCAGGCGTCAGGGGCCAAGTAAGAGAGACAAATGGCAGTTACCCACTTAAGAAAATAATGTTGTGCTGATTGACAAACGGCCTGTGCCTCTCAGCCACTAACAGCTCTTACAGAAACAGGGGGCTGCCAATAACAAACCTGATTTCTAAGGTCCCCAAGGTAATAATAATCCACTAATTTGACTGGCTCCCAGCTGGCCCTCCCTAGCAGTTTCTATTTGGTTTTTGCAGCCCGGGAGAACTTCTCTTTCTTTGGGAAAAAAAAAAAAAAACAAACGGGGGTGGGGTTGGGGTGAGGGGAGAGGGGGCAGTGACATTAAGAGGTAGTGTGGAGGGAAAACACATGGAAATTTAATGTTGGAAGGTTCTTGTTGCAATAGAGCTGTTGGGCTTGGCACAAAGACGGCTATCAGATGGCTCCTTTGACATGAGTAGAGCCTTCAGTAAGTAAGACAAGCCTGAAGGATTAGGTTGTCAACTTCGGCCTGTCATCTTTGGAGGCAGGAAAAAAAAAAAAAGGTGCTTCCCCCCACCCCCCACCCCTTTTCTTTCTTTCCTTGCCTTTCTTTCTTCTTTCTTTTTCATTCTTTTCTTTTGGGTTTCTAATTGTATCCTCTCCACCAGTTGTGAGCTTTTCAGACGGGGCAAAAGGGACAGTTAATGGGCGACAACCTCAACCCCCACACTGATCCTGAAAGTGGAGCCTTGAAAGACGGCTGCGTCAAGCAGGCTGTAAGACTAATCGCCCTGCGCGAGTATGAATTTATCTAAAGATGATTTCATGTGGAACCCGCGGAGCCGGCCGCCAAACGGATGAGTGCACAGTTTAAGAAAGTTAGTGGGACTCGCCCCAATCAACTGTCAGGCCGCATAAAAGGTTTGGGGCGCGCTGAGTTAAGCAAACACTATTTAGCCATCTAAGGATACCATAAGGCCTGAGATTTTTCCTTGGTCGGCGCTGTCAGGAAATACTGATACGTATCAAGTAACACTCCGGGTGCAAAAGGAGGTGCGTCTCCTTGTAGCTATCTCTATTTACAAAAGGGACCCGTGCTCCCAAAAGGGTGGGGACAGGGAACGGAACGTGCACTTCACAGGGAACTTTCCTGCTTTCCCTGGAACCACAATCTTGTGAAAAGAAGAAGAAGAAAAAGAACTGAGCAAAAAAATTGTCTCATTCTAGATAAAAAATACTAAATGTTATTTGAATTTATAAATTCCCTGAATGCCCAGCTGAGACCCTGCTTATCAGCCTCAAACTATCTGCTGTGGACATTATTTTTTTTTTGTTTGTTTTTTTTACATGTTTCTTGTTGTTTAGCATATTCTGAAGTATGTTCAAAGTATCTGCGTCTCCAGTGTAAAATACAGTCAGGAATACCTAGCTCCATCAAGCGTACACAGCCAACACTCCAAAGAGGTCCCAGGAGCCAAAACTATTTTTGTTAGAAATTATCTCCACAATTCTAAATGACTCATCCTTTTAGTGCTTGAAGTACATAAGTACATGGGAAAAAAAAAATAATGTCTCCAATTGGAAAACTGCGTTGGGACCTTTGTGCTGTTACTGCAGAGTGACAGTTGAGTTGGAGAGTTTAATTTAAAAGGAAAAACAAAACAAAACAAAAAACAAAGAAGCCAAAAAGAAAAAAAAAAGAAAAGAAAAAAATACCACACCGCTCTTTATCAGAACACTCTAAACATTCATTTGCCTTGAGTAACATTGTGCCTGAGGTGAAATCCTTGAAGATGTTCCTGGTGCCAGTGTCAATGAAATACCCTTTGGCATTAAGCAGTGTTCCTAGAATCCTGAACGTGCATTCCGTAACAGCGCAATAAACGCGAGGAACCGAGCAGAAGAACCTGCTTGTTCTGTAAGGAAGATTGCTCCCAGTTAAACAAAGAAATTTAGGGTCGCCTGCTTTTCATGGAAATCACATACATATGGCCTTTGAAATTTGTCACTGAAGATGGTTTTGCTCTAAGGTAAAACCCACCACTTCATAGCCTTTCAGCTGCGAGTCTCTGGGTTTTTTTTTTTCTCCCCCTCTCTTGGCCTGCAGCCCAATATGAATGTATGATCACTAGCGTAATAGTTAAACATCTGAGTCTTTTTGAAGTGCTTTCGACGTTACAATGATGTGATGGTTGATTGCCTAGCAGTCAGTTCAGAAAAGAACTTCCTTCTGCCCCCTAGTGGTAGAAATTAATAAGAGCTGCTTCGTCATTCTTAAAGCTCCCAGACACCTCAGTTTTCAGTATTAATACTTAATGCTGCCGGGAATTTGCTAACCAGTTCCTTAGTAATCAGTCATGTGTGTCTTTTCTTTTTTTCCCCTCGAGAAATGGGAACTCACTATGTTCTTGGACTAACCTGGAACTCTTAATCTGGCGATCCACCTGTCTCAGCTTCCTGAATGGCTGAAACTTAAGGTGTGCCCTCCTGCCTTGGCCCAGCGTGCATTTTAAACAGTGCGTGTCTGCACCAAGTGGACTGCTGCTTCTTGTGTTACAGTGTCATGCCTTGTGTGTCCTTCACAGTCTGTAATTCTCTGTTAAACAAAATATACTACACTGTAAACAGACATTGTCCTGAATGTAACTTTTTTCCCGGGAACATTCTGAACTGACTTAATGGGGGGATATTAACCAAGTAGTGGGCGGTGCTGCCAAAATTATGAACTAAGTGCATTTGTAGTCGAAGAAAGCATTACATGCTCTTGGGTATTGTGGAAACTTTTTGTCTCTTCTCCGATGACGGTTCTGTTGTTTTTTATAGCAGGCAATATAAACCGTTTGCACGGTTAGCTCTGGGTGTGTCCCAGGTCACATCTCTTTGTGTTAAAGTTCATCAACTAAGCCACATACGCCGAGAGAGGGAAAGGGATGGGTGGTGTGCTGAGAAGAATTTGATGTGGCAGACATTGGTTAAATACACTTTTTTCCCCCTCCTTACTTGCCGGCAAGCTACGAGGAATGTGTTTGAGTTTGTTTGTTCAGTTGGCTGTTGTTGTGGTTTTTCCTGTGCTGAGTTCTTGATTATTTATTTGTTTTTTTTTTAATCTGTCCTACGTGAGTCAAATTCCACACGCAGGCAAGCATCGAAAGACAGGTGGAAGAGAGCTCCTGAGAGAGACAGAGAGACAGAGAGACAGAGAGAGAGAGAGAGGTGCCCTCCTGTGACTATGTGTTTAGCTCTCAAAACTTGTGAATGCCCCAAGGCAAGGAGACTGAGGAGGAGGAGGAAGAGGAGGAAGAGGAGGAGGAGGAGGAGAAGGAGGAGGAGGAGGGCACTATGGAGAGGGGATGGGACAGCTGGGCCATGTGGAATGTGTCACTTTGCTTCTGTACCACCATTGTGTTGCTCATGTCGGAATGTGGGGAAGGCGTGAGGTTATTGACTGAGGAGCCATGGAGATTCCAGCTGTCAACATGTGATCAGCTCTTGGTACAAAGAGAAGTTTTTTCGCGACTCCAATTTGATTCCTAGTGACAGCTACACGTTTCCCGGGGCCCTTTATGCTACCAGCTTGCCTTTGGGTAGCCTTTGGCTCCGTTCTCTTTTCAGACTGACCCTGTGAACTTAGTACCTGGCTTATGAGGGCATGTTGACTGACGCCGAAATGATGGAGAGTCAGGACTAGTTCCAGAAAGAACACTAGGGCTTCGGGGAAAACAAATAACTGGTAGTCTGTTAGAAGACTATTGTTTTATTTATCTAGATTTGGGGCGTGTGTATGCATGTGTGTGAGCGTACATGGATGGGGGCCTGTGTGGAAGCCAGAGGTTGAGAACATTCCTCGGTTTTGTTCTCCACCTTATTTTTTGAGGCAGGGTCTCTTCGCTGACCCCAACGCTCACTGTTCCAGCCATTAAGCACCTGGATCTTTCTGTCTCTGCTCCCACAACCCTAGGGGCTACAGGCCCCGGCTGCCACACCAGTTTTTACATAGGCACTGGGAATCTGAACTCAGGGCCTCATGTCTGTTCAGCAAGAATGGTCCCCATCAAGCCATCTCTCCAGTCCTAAGGGCTTTGTTGTTGTTGATGTTGCCAAACATTTTACTTCAAAAGAATCGTCCCAGGGGAAAAACATGGTATACTAGATGACCTTGCTTACCGGAAGCATGTCAACCGGTGTGTAACTATGTGACTAGAAGCTTTTCTTCGGACCTGCTCCAGATGATCGCAGGAGCCTCACAGGGCCGAGCAGATGCCCACTAACTGCTTTTACTGTCTTGCTGTCAATCACCCTTTCTCTTTGATTCTGACATCGCTGAGACTTCTAGTGAGAATTGAAACTCTCTCTCTCTCTAAACTGGAAGAGGTGGAAGATGAGGAGGAGGAGGAGGAGGAGGAGTAGAAGAGAATAGCCTTCTCTGTGTGAGCCCACTCAAGGCTGCTTGAATTTCTTGGGAGTTCAGAGAAAGAAGCAATAACTCACGTTTGTTCATGTAGGCAAAAGTTATTTACATCTTGGAGATCCCGGATAACACATTTTTTTAAAAATCACAGCAGATATAGAACATTTTTGGTGTGGGACAAGATCGTTGCCTTACCTTCTCATCACCCTAGGCCTTCCTCATCTGAAAGCAACTCAGTGCACCACAACCCTGAATCAATAAGCTTCCTCTCAGCCACATCTTGCCTGATCACATGGCTCCCATAGTCATCCTTGTGACTTGACATGGTAAACGGGATTTTGTAGATTTTCTGGATTTTTTTATACATTGTTCTCTATTGGTTTTATACATACATACATACATACGTACTGTTTACAATTATGTGTGTGGTGTGTTTATGCACACATACAATTTCACTTTAAGTTAGTTAATGTACATTTAGGATTGTCACAGGAATATTTTCTAGAAATATATGGTCAATCATATAGGTGTAATTGAGAGAACTTTGGCCTGGGGACCACCTAGGTTATCTCTCTTTACTTACAAATGTCAAAATTTCTTGAAACACCGTTGTTTTATAAAAAAAAAATAATAGCTGTTCTATTAGTTATTTTCCTTATTGCTATGGTCAAAGAGCTGACAAAAGGCCATTGGCGGACGGGAAGTTTCACGTTGGCTCAGAGTTCACAAGGCAGAAGGGCAGAGTCCTTCCTGGTGCGAACTGTGGGTGCAGGAGACTACTACGCACTCACATCTCAGCAGCAGGAGTCAGATGAGTGAGGGGGAGCTGGTGCTGAGTTGGCTGTTCAGGTACCTGATGTGTTTTCGTTCTCTCAGTGGAGGACTCTAATACAAGGCCTGGCAAAGGAGTATTTTCCCTTAGTCAAAATTCTCTGAGATAGCTTCCAATGACACCCCCAAACATGTGACTGACTAATGCCATAGGAATTGCTTGAGCCAATCAATTTCACATCCAAAATTAGTCATCACATAGCTCTCCCTGAGAAGTACCCTGGGGTATTTGGTTACAGGACTCCCGTAAGAAACAAAAGTTGGAAGATGGTCAAGCCCATTACATAACTTGACATAGCATATGATTTCTATAGAATGTATGCAAACCTCATGATCCTGTAAATGGTCTCTAGATGACAATTGTGTAAATTATTATGACATCTGGTACAACATAAATGCTGTGTAAAAAGTATCAACACTGTGTTGCACAGAGAAGAGAGAGCAAGTGCATGTTCATCACATGTCATTTTTAAAGAATATTTTTGGTCTAATATTCTGGGTTTGGAATTTGCACGTGTAGGGCCAACTGCAGTGATTTTAGATGATGTGAAGAGAGGTCACATTATAAAGTCATTTATTTATTCTAAAACATTACTGTTGGCCATCACCTTCACCCATGACCCAATGTGTTGTGCTAACTCTCAGATGCTGTGGACAACACAGTGAAAGACACACCATGGCCAGTATGGAGGCTTCTCTGTATGAGTGGGTTGGAGTGAAGTTGGTGAGCCCTGTTACCATTTGTAAGAAAGAATCTATAAAACAGATGCCTGGAAACCATCTAGGATTTTATAAGAGTTCAGCTCTCATTTAAAATTTGCATCTTTTTTTTCATATAAGAGATAATCTGCCCTCATTTGGACTCCTCTGCCTGCCTGAGGCATTCAAGTAGCATATCTCCTGACTTCCGTACCCCTGGACTTTGCACCCAAGGCATGCTCACTGTCCATCCATGCTTGCATACCCTGAAAAGATGGTGGAATACTTGCGTTGTTTCTGTCTGCTCAGAAAACATGCTTTCATGGAGTTACTAAAAACACACTTAAGCATGGTACCTGTTGGCATTGCCTCTCACAGGTGTTCTTTGCGGAGTCCCAACTCACGTGTCTGTGTGCTCCGCTTTCTGTGCTGTAACTAGTTTTTTCTCAAACTTAAGGTAAAGGAAAAGTTGATTTCCATGCTCCCCGTGTCATTTAGTTATTCAAGCATTCTGGACGATGTCCTTGAGTCCTTTTGCAGGTGCTGAGTTCCTGATCAGACCTGCTTCTCTGACCAGCTCCTCCAGGTAGCACTCCATGGTCCCTCCCTCCTTCCTCATCTGACACACTGCCCTCATCTGCTTCAGGTTCCTGTCATTAGAAATGTGTCTTTCCTGACACTGTCCTTTGGGTGATAACTATCCGACTCCCTTGTGCAGAGCAACTTATGCTGTTCAACTTCAGAGCCTCACTTCAGACATCGGCTGCCAAGAACGCTTGTTACGAGCTGCTTGGAACCGCTTCCTCGCTAATTCGTCCTAGAGAGAGATTGTGCCCGCACAGAGAACAACAGTGTTCCTGTGTTTGCTGGGCACTAAAACCCAGTTCTGCACTATTACAAACTCTGGTGGCATTTGTTCTGGGGCTTGGCTTGGGAGGGCAATGGAAGGAAGATCAATGAAGCGGTTGCATCTTTTGAGAAGACTGTACCTTGACTTAGATGACTATAAAAGACAAAGTGATAAGGAAAAAGAGAGAGGGAAGGTGGGAGAGAGAGGAGGAGGAAGGGAAGGAGAGAGGGAGGGAGAGAGGCAGAGAGAGGGAGAGAGGAGCGAGCGAGCGAGCGAGCGAGCAAATGAGCGAGAGAACACGAGAGAATATACATCTCTATTTGCACCATTTAGCTACAGAGGAAAAAATGCAGAAACCACCTCTCAAGTCAGGAGAATACTCCAGCCAGCCAGGGTGTTATAAATTAGAGCCTGTCAGTATTACAATGTATATTAATAGTCACACCTCTTTTTAATGAGTTTGGCATTGGCAGCTGAGAGGAAATACAAGTCATCATGGCTCTGCTCATGCAAACCCCGACAAAGGAATCCGTAATAAATCTTCCTTGAACAGCACTCACCATAAATATGTATCACAGAAGGCATCTGTTTTACATTCTGCATATAAATCAGTACAGCGCCGAATAGCAATGAATCAGCTTCTCAATGCCTGATTTGATAACAAATCGACTTGGATCTTAGGAGAGAGAATTTACAGCCGTCACCCTCAAGACAGAGAGTCAATACTTAAGACGAGTGCCAAGTGAACTTTTCTTCGGCAAGCAAGTTTACAGAAAGAGAGGACTGGTGGTCAGGTCAGGTCAGGGTCAGGGTCAGGGTCAGGGTCAGGGAGAGGCAGCTCCAGAGAGGCTGCCTTCCTGAGGAGAGGGGCTTTGAAACTGGAATTTTGAACCTGAGGACATCAGGTGACATATCTGAGTCTCTGAATATCTTTATCTGTTTTCCACTTGGCTGGGTCTCGGGGTATACTTTTGTAGGCCCTAAGGATGACAGATACCGTCTTGATCATGTCACTTGAGGTGGAAGCAAGAGTTGAAACACCAGATACCCGTCAGGCTGGGTGGGGCCATCTCCATGTGCAATCCTCCAACTCAGCCCAGCTTGGCTTTGATGATCCCTTCGGCTGGGGAAGAAGCAAATCTCGACCCCTTTCATTATAGACCATTGATAATAAAGATACTCGAAAAAAAAAAATATGGCATCATCCCAGGAACCCAGTGTGGTGGGATCAAACGGTTGATGGCTCTCTGGTGTCAGAGCCGCGCCTGATGGAGACACAGCCAGCTGCACAGAGTTCTACAGTGCTTAAAGAAAATGAGTGCAAAGCAGTATCAAATAGTCTCTTGTCAAGATAGAGCTGTCTGCTCCGGCTGACTTAGGCTGGCAGAACGTGGAGCAGGGCCTCGTTTTCAGTCTAGGTAGAACCCCAGGAGGACAGGCTCTCCTTCGTAAAGTCATGCTGTGCTGTGGGTCATCATCCTTCTTCTTCCCCAAGCATCCGCTCCACCTGTGGCACGAAGCAGTCATTTAGACTGATGAGGCTTTGACTAGCTCCCTTCATTTTCTAAGGCTGTGATGCTTGCACTGGCTCTGGCCATCCCAAAGAAGTGTGCATCCTGCCAGTCACGTCTCAACACCAAGGGAAATTCTAGATTCCTCTGAATACTGCTCTACTCGATGCTTTAAGATCTGAGTGCAGGAGTATTGGAGAAGCCCTCCTTCACTGGGATGGAGTCAGCGTGTTTGGAAATCCTAGTCCACCTGTGATCATTAACGAGGAACCTTTCTCCCTTGTTCTAGCAGAAGTCCATGAACAGGCGGGTAGGACATCTGACCCAGTGTAAGTCCATTTCTGTAACAAAGCAGAACGTAAGTCTTGACCTCAAAGGGAGTTCTAGAAAAAAAAAAAAAATACAGTACTTTGGAAGTCTGCCCTGTTCACAGGTCTGACAACTGGTTAATATTTTGTCTCCAGGCAGTGGAGCCAGGACCTGCCCTTGGAGCATGGGCTGACTTTTTGAAGCCTGGGGCCTATGCTGAGACACTTTGCTCAGCCTTGTGTAGGGAGGAGGGGACTGGACCTGCTTTGGCTGAGTCTGCCAGGCTAGGCTGACTCCCCAGGGGAGACCTTGCCTTGGAGAAGGTGGGAATGGGGAGGGTGGATGGGGAGGACAGGTGAATCTGTGGCTGATATGTGAAATTAAGTTAATTATAAAATAAAAATACTATTAAAAAAAGATTTTGTCTCAGTTTAAGTTAGTAAATGCTAAGGCGGCAAAGTCTGCTCGGCTGAAATGGGGGTGTCTTTCTGTTCAAGAGCTTGCAGAACATATCTTCACCTACACCTTGAAGTAGGTCACAGTGGTTCTGAAGATATTCTGTATGAAGAGCTAAGTGAACAGCACAAGTGGAAGCTTGCACAGCACACCACAGACCAGAGTCCTCTCCTCGTGTCTGAAGCCTTGTGTTGGGGAATGGACCCAGGACCTTCTGATTGCTGAACATGAACTTTACTGCTGAGCTATGCTCTCAGCCTTTCTAGTCAGACTCAGAGCTGGATTTCTTAACGTTGTGGCCATGACTATGGAGCTATCCTTTCTCAGCCTCAGTTTCATTCATTGATACAATGGGCTTTGCAAACTCTACCTCTAAGATTTGTTGTGGGAATATAAACAGTGATGTTGAGGATCTGTTTCCCTATAATAATGTAGACCAGGTTCCTAGAAGTTTGGGTTGTTTTACTTCATTAAAAGCCAAAATGTGAAAAGAAACAAACAAGCAAAGCACAAATAAATGTTCACAGTCTCCCTCTTAGAGAGAGTAAGCTTTTGGGGACAGAGTAGGGAAGGGAGATGCTGTCAGGTGGTCACTCTGTCCTTAGTAAATCATACTGCCCACTTGCAGAAGAACTTATATAGAACTACAGGATGGCCCCTGCTACTCAGCATATGCTTTTCAAGGAGAGGAGGTAGTCATTCCACACACTGATAGAATGTCTCCTAGTTAGACTGTGTTAGTTCCTAAAGCCATCTGTCCTTCCCCCCTCCCCACCCCCCCAGTAATACTGTGAATCAGCCTGGTCTCCTTTAAAAACACTTTTCATTTGATTTGTTTCAAATTGTAAATACATGCTCTTTATAATTTTTTTATGATATAAGTGATGGGGCCATATGAAATAAATCAGAGTGGAAGATATTAAATGTTTTGAACTTAAATGGCTTGGATATAAAATTACAGGTGACCATTGATACTAAAGTTGTGTCTCGACATGAAAAATGAAGTGAAACTTAAAATGATGATTGTCAAAATGTAGACCCAGGTTTTGCTTGCCTACACCATCCCTGTAGCAAGGGTGTTTGCAGTCATGACATCCATTTTCCATCTCAGTTGTCTGAGAGAATGAGGTTTTAGGAACAGTGTTTTCTTTTCAGGGGCTGTACAAAATGCTTATTTAGACTTCTCTTTTTCTCAAGATGTTTTCTTCAATGAAAATATATATTTTTTTTCTTTTTTGGACCTGATTCTCATGTATTCCAGGTTTGCCACAAACTTACTGCCTAGATGAGGGTGACCTTGAACTCCTGATCTTCCTACATCTCCTCTGTGCTGAGATTAAAGGAGTGCACTATCATCCTCAGTTTATGCAGTTCTGGGAAAGAAACCAAAGGCTCTAAGCATGAGAAACAAGCACATTCTACCAACTGAGACACACCCCATAGCATCCTTTTTTTTTTTTAACCAATCAAAAATACTTGGACCTAATTGCTAGAATATTCCTCTAGCTATCAATATCCAAATTGCCAATTATTTCATGATATATATGTATATACTTATATATAATTTTATATATATATACATATATGTATATATGTATTTAAATAACTATAAAGCAATGACGCTACTAGCCAAATTCAATTCTGATACTTGGAGTCATTAAACACTCTCTTTGAATTTTCAATGAGTCAGATTAAATGGCTCCTCTACACTGTGTTGAGCTATGACCAATCAGATTCATAAGGGCAAGTAGGGGTGAGCCAGCCAGGGACATGACCTCCACTTGCCTCCATAATTAGTGTGTATTGTTGGGTGAGAGGGAAGGAGGTGACTCAGTGGGAACAGACCAGCTATTTAGAAGACTGATACAAACACTTTCTGTTTTCAAAATTGCCCTCAGATACAGGCCATCCAAGGATGCAAAGGAGGTTCTGGTTGTACCTTAAAATATTAAGGATGCTCTCAAGACCCACTCATGGCTAAGAGGTAAAAGGAAAACTGAAACGTAATGACAATCAGAAGTAGATAATGTGTAAGCAGAAACTCCTTTTGGCTTCCAGACTAATCTGGAAGGGAAATATAGATTTTTTAAAAAAATCAAAACTACAACCTTAAATGTCACAGCCATGCACATCACAGGACATGGACAAACCAGGAACCATAGCTGGTGGAGTAGACAGCTATATGTATGTATGTTGGTACCCCGAGTCATTTGCTTGTGAGATCCAGCCACCATGGCATGAGTTTCAGAGACAAAAAAAACAAAAATCAAAGAGAAGCCCGTGAACTACCTACTCCACAAAATGAAATCTTCCTTGATTAATTTTGATGTGGTTGATTTCCCAAAAGTTCCCTCCTCCCTCAAGTTGTCAACCAATTTTAGCTCTAGCTCACTTTGAAGTAAACCTGTTTTTAAAATCTGATTTGTTGACTGTTCGCAGCGATCTGTTTTTTACTTCATGGAATACTGGGTATGAAGAAAATCCTTAACATCCTTAACTGTGCCTCACAGATGAATGTAGCATTATGTTCCATGCCAAAATGCAACGGAGGCTCCCAATCCAGAGAACTAGTTTCCTGAAACTTCATTCTGAAGTCTCAAAGGTAAACCTGAATGGCAGTGGGGGATTTAAGGCCTCCTTCCCTGAGAGCTATGTTTCAGGAGAGGTGTGGGAAAGGGTTGGTTTCCAACTGGGACTCCAGTGTGCTCAGATCCCTTCCTTTCATTTATGTTTCCTGTTCCAGCAGTAACTCGGGGGTGATCACAAAACAGGACGATATTTATTTCCTGGTTTAGCTGACTAATGAGCATGGAACAGATACTTGTGACTTCTGTGGGCTTGCTCACACTGTGGCATTTCTCTCTGTAGCCTGGCTCCTGCGTTCCTCTAAAATCAGTGGGAAGTATGCTCCCTACAGGTTTCCAAACTAAAAGAAAGCACAATATGAAATAAAACTAAGAGTTTTGGGGTACATAACAAGTACTTCGTCATTTAGTAGCCAATGTTAAGTGATGTGACTTCTTTATGTAATTAGTGTCTTCCAAATCCTACTAAGTAAATTTTAAAGCAGGATAGAAAGGGAAGGGAGGGGATGAAAATCAAAATACCAAAAATAGGAATGATATATGAAAATTGGTGGATAAACATAATACCAGCTTCAGTGTTTCAATCACAACAATAATGCTAAATGGCATATCTGAAATGATCCCACCAAGTCCCCTCCCTCTCACGACCTCACAGGATATCCCGTCTCCTGCAGAAACAAAACATGGAAATGAATCAGCCGATAAAGGATTTTCTCCCATTGAAGATGTTGGTGATTTTGTCCTGTGTTGGGGAAGTTGAACATAGAGATGGATATTCATAATCTGTGGAGACCACAGTCTGCCTCCCTCCTGTAGGATGCATTTTTTTTGTGTGTGTGTGTATGTGTGTGATAAAGAATGGCAGGCTAAAGGTAAAATGTTTTATCCAAGTATGATAAAAAATCACACCATAGACTGACCTAAGTATTTAATTCTTTTTAACATGGATAGTCAATATCTTTTTACAGAGTCCTCAACTGATCGCTTCTCTTTCTCTTAGTAAATGCTCTTAGTAAATGTTCAAATATTAATGCAATATCAATTTTAACTTTTCTTGGAGGGTGCCTGGGGGACAATAAGCTAACAGCTGGGGGAGGTGGAGTGATGTCATAAATAAAGACGATAGTGATGGTTGTATTGAGGATACGTTTTGAGGTCATTCCAAAATTCTAACCACAATAGTTGTCATTTCCAAAGCCTAAGCTGCTCTTAAAAAAAAAAAACAAAACAGATATTTTTATAAACTTAAAGCTGAAAATGAAGAAGGAGAAAAACATTCCTTACATTTCTGAGACTGACATGACCTAGAAAAGAATTGTTATAGAATCGGATTTAGGACATTTCTTCCATGCTTTCAAAGAACTTGAGCTTTGAATTTCTCCCAGAGATAAACTTAGTATTACTCACACTTTTCTCATGTCTAGATCAACATGGAGGCTTTGCTGGGATGAAATATTTAAAAGAGGATGTTGAGGAAAGATGTATGGAACATGCATTTCAGGTAGCTTTCAAGGTTAACCCTTGTCCAGATTTCCATGGCCAGTTTCTTTTACCCAAAGATAGCACGATTAGTTCTGAATGGCTGCCGCTGTCTCTCTCACCAGCCACTCATGTGACACCTTGGCAATAAATCACTGGTGAAGTGTGCCTTCTCTACAGAGTATTTGGGAAACCTACAGGCAGGAGGTTATGGATTTAATGGAAAATGAGAGAGAGAGAGAGAGAGAGAGAGAGAGAGAGAGAGAGAGAGAGAGAGAGAGAGACAGAGAGAGACAGAGAGAGACAGAGACAGAGAGACAGAGACAGAGACAGAGAGAGAGACAGAGAGAGAGAGAGGCTATGATTGTAGCACCACTCTAAGCTAACTAGATATCCTGCCCAGGTTTCCAGTGTGGGCATTCAATCGGGCCACCCAAACTGTTGACATCCTTCACTGACCCTTCCCAAACAATTGTGAACCTAATGACTTTGCTTTCAGATTTTGGAACTGA